TCTCCTGACCCGCCCGCTGCTTCCCTCAGCAGTGTACTTCATCGATCTGCCTGTTCTGTTCCCCACTCTGTCTCTGGTGAATCCTCTCACCCTCCACATCTCTGGCCTGTACCCCAGTTCTTAAATCTTAAAAAATAATAATAATAATACAAGTATGATATGACTGCTAACTGTATTTACACTTTAAAATTATGTGTTGTTTACCTGAAACACATGTCTACTGCCCTCCATATTTTACCTGGCAACATTAATGGGGGGAAATAAGAAGAGAGTTTCTGAGTGGACATGACTGGACAAATGGGAGAAGAGTGAACTGAAGCAGGGGAAGCTGTGTAGACAAAGGCAGGGGAGACTGCATTTTCCTCAGTGGTGATTAGTAAAGCAGTTCTCCTAAACAGAAGGCTTTGTGGGGAACAGAATTAAAGAGGCTTGTTGGGGGCCTATTGTGGAGTGTCCTGAACAGTAGGCAACCCTTTGGAAACAGAAGTTGGGGCACGGGACATAATTCAAGAACCAACTGTTTGATTTTTTTAGGGGCATTATCTCTGCTGAGCAGAACACCTGGGATTGGACATTTTGGGTACAGAAAGGTAGTTTGGCCAGTGTAAGCGGCCACAATGAGAAGCTAAATTACTCTGCATGAAAAGAGGGGAGAAATTATTATATCCCACGGTAGCCGTGCAAAGGAGACCCAAGAGGGGAATTTCGAGCAGGATTGCACCATGGCAGGAAGCTAAAAGACCCCAAGAAGGTGATTTTGGTCAGAGTGAAATTCTCTATAGCAGCCAAAGAGTCTGAACAGTTGAGTGAAATACTCCCTCTTCATGGGTTGTTGTTGACACATCTCTGCCATTTCCTGAAAACCTTCACCCAAATCTCTGCCTAGCTGATCTACCTAAGAGATGTTTGAGAGACGAAGAAAGCTCCTGGACACCCCACATCTCACATCTCTGCAGGGCCAGAAGTCCTAGGAAGGAGGCCGGTAGGCAGGGAAAGTGCTGGAAGAGGAAACTGAAGGGTGAATGACCAAACACACACCCCTGTAGTCCACACCAATCTCAGGGAAGACAAAAGTGTACAATTTGGGATGAAGCGATTTTATTTAAATCTCACAAAATTAGCATCCCAGCCAACAGCTGTTTCCCACAGAGAGGACGACCTTTACAGAACCATCTCCTGAGAGCTGGTATGACCTGTATGGCGACAGAATAAGCAGTCCACACTTTCCTCCTTCTTTCCTCTTAATAACTTTCCTCTCTTCACCTCCACCTATGCTTACTCCATGTCAGAGAGAGATGGGTCAAGTCAGCTTGTTTTACTCCTTGCTACCATCTCTTGTAAGGCATGATATTGATATGCCTCCGTTTTATGATTCTACATGTGTGTGCTTAGCTAGGAACGTGTAAGAAGCATCGCTTTATTTCTATCCCATTGCCTCCGTGTATTTGAATTTGTGCATCTGTGCTCTTGCAGATTAGACCTGGTGACCTCAAATATTAAAGTCTTCCCTGCAGAGGCTAAATATACTCAACAATCAAGACTATAGATGCTACAATTTATGTTATTCTACAGCCAATGAAACTTCCTGCAGCTACTTATAATATTTCTCAGCTGTGGTTTCCCAAGAACTAAGCACTGATTCAGGATGACAATGGCAAATTAACACAGTGTATTGTTATTTCCAGAATAATAAGCTCAGAATGATTTTATTCAGCCAGTCACCTGAACTGTTTGGGAGTGAAGGTTGGGAGTGAAGGCTATTCTTTGGCAATAGCATCTACTCTTATGAAAGTTTCCTCCTGACAGAAAATTCCAGAGAGTAGAGGGTAGAGGGTTTGTAATCAAGGATATCCAGGGAGTCAGAGGTGACAGCAGACAGCAGTCAGAGGTTGTAAATTGATTTAAATGTTTATTTAGCAACCAGATCTATAGGAATACTGACTGGTATGTTTTATGCCATTATTATGGTATTCCTTTTCCCCCATCTCATGAAAAACTACAACAAAAGGAATTGATTATTTGACATCACCCCTGGGATACACCCATGACAGTGCTGCTTCCTTCGGAATGTTCAGGAAATCAGCAAACCTAACCTGTAGCCAAGTGTTTCCATTGGAAACGGGCATGAAAATGCAAAGCTACCTGGCTAGTATCCTGGTTAACTGCACTAAAAGGTCCCGAACGTTGCTGACAATTACCAGCATGCTATCGCCTGTTGCTTTTACTTATTGATCTTAGTTAGCACCACTAGTACATCTGTCATGATCCTTTGGCTCATTTCCCACTGGACGCATCTAAAGTAGCTAATACCTCTTTGAGTTTTCACAATAGTCCCCATTTCCACTTCAAAATCCTAAAGCACACACACAAAAAAATCTACACTTTAGCAATAATATTCTTTAAAAACTGGTTCCAATTTCAGTGTCTTGGTGAATTCACATGCTATGAATTGACTCACGTTGATTTTATAATATAGTCTTTTATTAATTCAATGATTAGCATGCTCGGATGAGCACACATGTGCTTGTAATCAGGACAGGTGCTGGCATTTAAACAAAAACAAAACAAAACAGAGCTATCCTTGACTTTGGCATTTTCCGTACAAAAGTGTTTACTTACCCAAGGCAAAATAGACTCTTGTGACAAAGCTTTCTTGCAAGCCATCAGAATTTCGAAGGCATGGTCCCACTTAATAAAGTCACCTTTTCATTATTCCTGGGTAATTTATCTCTTTGCCTTTGCTTTTTGCCATCCCCTGCCTTTACTCATTCTCGCTTATCAGAAAAGCAGAATGTCAGTGCAAATTAAATATTTTCACTTTATGGAATAATTGGGGTTAGGACAAAGGTTGTAACTACAGCCTAAATCAAATTTGAATATAAAGTTTGAGTATCATGAACTAATTATTCTCCATTCTATCTTCGAATCTTTTCACTGACCTTAAAAATTATCTAACCAAGGACAAATGAAAATGGAGTGTGTTTCATCCAGAACATTTATCAGAGGGAAAGGATACCAAGGACATAGCAATTACTGAGATGTATATACATAGTACATGGCACCATCAAAAGCAGGAGCTACAACACCTCACCAGTTCCGTTCCCTTTCCAAACAAATCAGGTCAGAATCTCTGGCAAAGGTTAGAATATTCCAGAACAGGGTTGACCACAACTGGAGCCAGAGGAGTGGACTGTGTGATGGGGCAACATGAGCCCACAGAGGTGTAAAGCAGCACGTAGCTCTGAGAAGAGGCTCACGCTCCCCATGCCGGGAACCTTACCGAACAAGCCTCACAGAAGCAACCGAGAGACGGCTGTCTCCTTTCTGCCTTTTGCCGTATTCACGGAGCCCTACCTGGTACCCAGCATTGACCAAAAGTGACCACAGAGTCCATGGGAGAAATGGGGTTCAAGGTCAGATGGGGCAAAGGCCCTCTGGAGGTAGACGTGCTAAGACAGGAAACCCCATTACAAATAAATTATCAGGGCCCCGCTGGTGGTGTAGCGGTTGAATCTCAGCACTAACAGAGCTGCCTCCAGAGCGCAATCTCCAGCCAGGGAGCTGACCCACATGGCGCCAGACCTCTTCTGACACGCCCGCTGCTGCCCTCAGCAGTGTATTCAGTCATGAACCTGTGCTGATCCCCACTCTGGTGAATCCTCTCACCCCTCTGACCTCTGTCCTACATCCCAGTTCTTCTACACAGAAAACAAAAAAAGGAAAGAAAAATATCAGCAAAGTGTCTCTAAATGCAACAGAGCTCTAGGCGTGGCCCAGGGTTAGGATTCCATAGGTCCAGGCTCTGGTTAGGATTTCATAGAAATATGTATGCTACAGTGATTTTCCTAAATGTCGCTAGTTTTTGTTTTCATCACTATGCCAGTAGGTATAAAGTTTCCAGTCATTCTGCTCATTTTATCACCTAAGAGCCAATGAGAAACTCAATACAAAGGGTCCAGGTTCACGCAACTGGGCACGTAAATCAAGAAGTCAGGACACACAGCAAGTAGCAGCAGGGGGACCCAGCCTAGGAGACCGTGTACGAGGGGGCCGGGCGTTCAATGTAGGGTGCAGTTGCTCTCTCCGCTCCCCAAGATGGCACCCGCGGGGCCGCGATAACATCTCATCGGAGCCAAATTCTTCCCAAAGAAACCTGTCTGCATCCGAGCCAAAGTGTGCTCTCTGCACTACTAGGAATAGCGCTCAGCTTCACAATACCTCCAGGTGCCAGATTCGAGGGCAGCTCCCCGAATCCCACAGACAGCCCACAATGTTGCCTTTACCATGAAGTAGAGACATTTAACTGAGGGCACCTTCTGCAGGCAGGTGAGACCCAGAACCAGCAAAATATTGACTCAACTCCAAAACTGACAAGGGGCGGAAGTCCCGCCCCGAACCCACTCACTCTCTGTCCGGAAGGGCTGGTGTTTGCCTGCCATCCACCCTCTGGGCCTCCATGCCAGGGAAGCTCAGAGGGAGGACTAGCTACGTTGCCCTTCCCTGGACCCTGCCTCTGCGTGGTAATTTACCAAATGCCACTAGCTGACACGTCACACTTATCAGTATCATCAGAACACGAGGCCTTGAACTGAAGCAACACAGGGTTTTTTCTATAATGGGGAGAAGAGCATAACAGGTATTTGTTCATTCAAGCAATCTGATACCTAAGAGGAACTTCATTATTTCCTGTTTCAATTCCTTTAGTTCTATATGGGGGGAAGAAGGAGGCTCTAATCATACATCAACAAGGATGGGAAAGTTGTTTTTACTGTCAGCTGGATTTTAACTGACTGGCTGACTATCTACTGGGCATTCGAACCCCATGCCAGAAGCAGACATGCTTGCAAAGCCTCAGCTCATCATATCCCACACCTTGCGGATCTGAACCCTTACTGAGAATGAGCCACAGCCATAGCTGCTGAGGTGCTCTGATTTCCTTTACTTTCCAGTTGTCAATCTGCTGCGCAGCTAAACCCTTCGCATTCTTTTCTGCTGCACAGAACCTGAAGCGGGTGGCTGAGACCTGGATGGATGAATTTGCCGAGTACATTTACCAGCGGCGCCCAGAGTACAGGCATCTCTCCACGGGGGACATCTCGGCCCAGAAGGAGCTGCGCAAACAGCTCAGGTGCAAGGACTTCAAGTGGTTCATGGCAGCGGTGGCCTGGGATGTGCCCAAGTACTACCCTCCCGTGGAGCCGCCGCCCGCCGCCTGGGGGGAGGTGAGGACAGGCTGCCTGGACAGTGTCCGCCCTGGGGCACCCGCCCCTCATAGGAGCGGGTGCGGGTGGGGTGCGGGTGGGACGGGGGCGGGCTGGAGGTGGGGCACGAGTGGGTACTGGCCAAACCTTCCACTCGTTTATCCCTCCATCCAGTGAGATTAACTTACGCCATCACAAATATCTGAATGTCAGGCTTCTCTTTGAACATAGCTGGGAATGAGGATTCCGCTCTCAGCCTTCAGAGCTGCGCTCCCCCCACCCCTAGAACTCTTGACCACTGTGGACTCCCCAAATGGCTTTCTTAAATACACTTGGAAAAATATTTTTATTTGAGATCCGTGAAACTGGCATCAGAGCTTATAAGAATAAAATATCTGTCGTGGTACTGTGTAAATACCAGCGACCTGGTGTCGGATGAAATTCCTCCTGGTCCTTAGGCGCACGGCCCTGTTGCTATTTATCTTCGCTGCCCAGGGACCGAGGGGCAGCCGTGTTTGCTAAGCGCGTGCCCTGCGCGGGGCCTTGCAGAATTGCCGAGGGCCAGAACGGAACTGGGCGGTGCAGAGCCGCCTGGCGCCTTCAACCAGCACTGTGCTTCCACCTAGCACAGACCTTTTCGATTTTACTTCACGGCCTAAAACAGGGAGAGGTGAATAGCCCTCGTTCCCGATTTGAAATTCCCCGTTTGGTTTAGTCCCAGCGCTCTCGCCCCGACAGGCGGCGTCCATCCCTGGCCAGGGAGCCGACCACATGGCCAGCAGAGCGGCAGGCCTCTCCTGTCTCACCTGTCAGTCCGCCTGGTCTCTTCCCCACTCTGTCTCCGGTAGATCCTCTCACCCCCGCCCCCTGCAACTTGGCCTACACCCCAGTTCTTCTACAAAATAATTAAATATTAAGGGGGGGGGAAGCCTCCTCTTTTGAACACAAAAGGGATGAAGGTGCTGAGTTTGGTTCCTTTTGCTCATGTTATGCGTAGCCGGGACCCCAGCAAAGCATGCGTGAAAGCAAGGACGAAAATCAGACATGGAGGATTCACCTCAGTACCTTAATCTGCTTTCAGCAGAAACTAAGGGGGAAACAGGCTGGGGTGGGCGAGTAGAGGGAGGTGAATAGCCCCACGGCAGCTCCTAGGACTTCCAGAAGCCTGGAGTCAACCTCAGCGAGGTTGGCTGTGTGGTGCGGGGAAGAACACGTCTGCCTGCTCAATGTCTGTGGCCAGGCAGAGCTCCAGAGACAGCGGCAGAGAGGCCGGGACGGAGCAGCAAGCCCGGAGAGCTGACGCGACTCCCCTTTCCCAGGAAAGGCGTGAGGCACGTTACATGCAAACGCAGTTTCTGGTGCTGATAAGGCCCACAAAGATGTCATCCTCTGCCTGTGTCTGGGCCAAGCCACGGCTGGGGGTCCGGCTCCTGGGGGGTTTGCATGTGCATGTAGCTGCCAGCCAGGTGAGCGGTCTAATCCCTGCATCCCCAAGATTTCATTAAAGCTTCCCTGAGATACTAGTGATCGCCAGCTGCTCACCCTCAGCTCTCTGCTGTGGGCTTGGTTTGTGGCCACAGAAAGCAGACGCCAGAGAGAACTTTCTAAGTCTAGGGCCTTGTGGGTCGTGAGAACGTGTTACCCAATATGCTGGTGAGTTGCTGCCCGGCATCCTGTAATTCTGTAGTTGAGGTCTGTCTGCCCTCTTTCTGTGGTCACTGAAGTGCAGCCCTGTGTTCGGGACTCAGAAACACTCCTGAAGGCCTCCATCTTGTTGGGAAATTCCCAGCTGGATCAAAATCCCATTAATCTTTTCTCTGCTCAAATTCGTATGCCTCGCTACTGCTGCAGACTGTGGCCGGTCACATTTTCCTAATCAGTATTTGTAAAACACTTTGCTTGGGAGCAGGCTCCAGCTTCTCTTCGGGTTCTAGAAAAGGCATGGCTTTCCAGGAACGGGCAGTGGGGCTGGGCCCCAGTGGCACACCCCTTATCCCGACTGCTTCCACCTCCCTCCGGTGGCTGGCGACGCCCTAAGGACATTTATATTCACTGCTCCTGGTCTAAGCCTCCAGACATTGAGAAGAGAAAACTCTTTTTTTTTTTTTTCTAACAAGATGGCAAATTTCTTTCCTCAGCGCTTTAGGACGACAAACAAACACAGGTCATATTCACACTGGAGGAAGGAAGTGGGGATATCATAGGGCCAGTTCCACACCGTGGCATTTGCTCAGTGAAAGTGAAGTCAGGGGTACAGTGAGAATGAAGACAGAAGTCTGGAGGAAGGCAAGGAGAAAGAAATAACACGTAACTAGGTTTGGGACTGGCAGATTGTTTTGGAAAATATCTATTTTCCAAGCAGAGTAGGTTCTGAGAATAAAAGTGACAGACATGCATTTTAATGTAGGGAGCAATGGAAGTGTTTGAAACACAGTTTAACCCAAACGAAACCAATAAAGGAAGAGTCTATTTTCCAGCACTTTATTGGGTAATAACCTACTTTTTAATCACAGATAAAAATTATTAAACACGCAGGATATAGCTATGGTCCATTTTACCTTTTTAAAACAATCTTTCAATGGATTCAGTCTGGTGCTTTTTCTTTTTCCTTAAGGGGACTTTCTTTTAAATAAATGTTTAATTCTGGAATAATTTTATATTTACAGAAAAGTCACAAAACTAGCACACAGAGAAAGTTCATGCATCCCCTTTACTTCACTTCTTCTAGAGTTCCATCTAATATCTGCCACGTTAGCCACGCACGTATAAACTAATTCACAGGGAGACAATGCTATTAACTAAAATACAGGCTTTGTTCTGATTTCTCCAGCATTTTCACTAATGTTCCTTTTCTGTGTCAGGATTCAGTCTAGTCTATGAGAGGGCTGTTTAATCTCCTATGGACTTCAAATTAATTGCTGGAACAGGCAAAGCTCCTACGTAAATGCAGTGGGTCAGATGCTGTTTTAGCAAGAGTGTGAAAAGGGAGATTCAGACTTGTGGTTCTTTTCAAGCAGTCATGGAAGGAACCACAAGCCTCCGGCAGCATAAACACAAGAATCCTTTATGGGAGCTCTGTGCCAAGAAGCAAGCTAACACGCTGTTTTATGCACTTGTATTTGGAACGGTTTTCCACCTGCTTCTTTGTGCCAGCCTGATTCTGGGTAAACAATGAAGTGCTTAGGCAATTTTTGGCTCTGGTAGTGAGATCCCAGCTTGTAAAGGGTACGTTACAGACCATAAACAGCCAATAAATTGCAAGTCATTTCCCTGACAAACTCAGCTGGGTTACTGCACTTGTCTCCTAACTCATCTCTCTGCTTCCATCCGGCCCTCTTTCTGTTATTTTCAGCATGGCCCACTTAGCATGAGAGACCAGATCATCCCTCCATGCAAAAGCTTACAAAGACTGCTGTCTCTCTCCAGATAAAATTCCAAGTCCTTGCCTGTGCCCTAAATGATTGGACCCTGTGGTGTCCTTTCCAACCTCATCTCTTGCTGTGTACAGCCTCCTCCTCCCCTTACTCTTCTTTGGGCACAGTGGCCTCCTCACTCTTCCTTAAAGGGCCCAAGCACAATTCTACCCCAGGACCTTTGCACTTGCTGCTCCTCCAGCCCCAGACAATTCCTTAGGTCCTTCCCTCACTTCCTTCAGGTCCATACTAAAAAAAAAATCATTCAGCAAAGCCTTCACTGCCATCTTATTTATTGTGTACATCAATTTGCAAAGATACTTCATACCTTCTAATGCACCTTACATCCTTTGTTTTAGCCTGTAATCTCATCACTACATAACTAGGTAGGGAATGTATTTATTTATCCTGTTTCTCCTCTACTTCCCCTACTAGAAAGCTAGCTCCACAGCACAGGATTTGTTAGGTTATTACAGCTCTTCAACAGCTAGAAACTGTACTTGGCATATAGTAGGTGTTCAATAAATATTTGTTGGATGGATGAATGGAGAGTCGTGGCTTTTTGTGGGCCACCTCACTGTTCACGGCTCAGCCCACACACATGGTTAGCACTCATGTGGCTTTACCACACAGAAGAAGAGTCTCTATACTACCCCTCCTTAGCCATGCAAAATTTACCTCTTTGGGAAACTTGGAAAAGAAGACAGCTTGAGTGGTAAATCTCAGGTCACTAATTCTGATGGGCTGTCAGATCTGTGATTCCTGAGACTCAAACAAGATATCAAATATTCTCTTCTGACATATGAGTAAGACCAGGGAACCCTCAAATATGAAAATCCTCTGTTCTGGCTATTTCCAAACTCTCCTGCTAGTTTCCTACTGAAAAGGTGAGAAAAGACCAAAGTCACATCTGCTAGAAGAGTGACCTCCAGAATCTTGCGCAGGTAGGACCCTGAGCTGGCAGGCAACCCAGAGGGTGCAGGTGTGATTTGGAGCCAGGTCATCACTGGAACATCCCTCAGTGCTATTCAAACAGAAACAATGTGCTGTACCAGGATGTTCTGTTGGATAGGATAAGAATAGGCTTAAAGTGGAAAACTATTCTTAAACCAGGCACATATGGAGTGTCTCATTTTGTGTGGAGATGCTAAATGAAAAAAAAAACAGAATTCCTATTCTTTCTCTCTTACCTCTTCCCCTCCTTAGAATTCGTGAATCTGCTAGAGTCATTTATAGTAGTCCTTTATAGTTCAAAATGAAGAGTTCTGCAGAATCCCAAGTACCATGTATAAAATGGAATCAAAGATAAACGTGTCTTTTCCAACCAGCGCCATAAATTCTTTGAAGGGTCTGCTTATTGTCCTCAATGTGCCGATCTTGCTGCATCCATTTGTCATCTTGTGATTGTGCAAAACTTTAGGGAAAAAAATCTTTGTTTTAAAAATTCATCCCAATGCTGAACTACTTTGACTACAATTTAAATTCTTCGCCTCAAGAGTCATGTCACCCTGCACTGTGGAACAGTTGCAGAGATAGGCACCCTGAATAATTCCAGCTCTTCTCCCCTGCTTTGGGCTGCTCTTGGCTTTTGACTAGATGGCTTGCTTT